TCCATGATTATGACGTCATTTGATTTGTAACAATATTTTGTTATCGCGTACATGATAAATCAATTATTGAATCGTGCTGGTTTGAAACCATCTTGTATTTCTTTTATTTTCTATAGACTGTGGACTGTGTGTGCTTATTTTTTATAAAACAAACACATAACTTAGACTACTAAAAGTCAGTGATAACTGAAACAAAAACATACTTCCATCTACTATCGAACCACTAATGACATGATAAAAAACACAGAATCATCAGTTTGTGAAATGAATTTATTGTTACATGCACTCCACTGAACAATTTTGGCAACTTGTGCATTCCATAGGAGCATGCTACATCTGGGAGACCTTAGTATGTAAATGAGTGTAAAACATTTTGAATAAAGAATATAGCCAAATACAATACCATCCATGATTGCCTAGCTCCATTTATTTAACTTGTAGGGTTCTATTTTACTTACCTGATGTCTTGGTATGGTCGATGATCCTGGTCCGTAAACGATTCACTGATTTTCGTGAGAACATCAAATCCTTCGGAAACCTCTCCGAACACAGTGTGCACCCCGTCCAGGCTGTCAACATTCTCAGCAAGTGTGATGAAGAACTAGTTAGAAAAATACTTAATTAAACATTTGGTCGAAAAACAAAAATATAATAAGAGTTGACATGGAAATACTTGTGAACAGCGGTGGCATCGGAAAGTCACAGAAAGGGGGACCAACAAGTCCGACAGGGGATATTTAATTGAGGCGCCACCTAGAGCCTCGGTCAGGGTTCCAGAAATATAATACCTGGTGAGGTTTACGGGGAGAGATTGTATAATTTAGGACCATGATTGCCCAAAAATTGTGTGTTTAGACCACAAAAATTATCTAATAAAGCATTGTGATAATTTTAATATATTTTTAAATTGCAAATTTTACTGTTATTTCTTAATATTTCTTGAATGTGCTGCTTTCTTTCATTTGTTTGACTTTCTTTTTAAATGTGCCTTTTTAATGTATTTGACTTTTGGTAAGATTTGCTATTTTTAGTGGTTAGGGTTAGTGTAATTTTCAATGTTTTCTTTTTGTCTTGAGGACCCCAATGGAAATAAGTTCACTTGTAAACTTTTGTGGGTTTATTCCTCAGTTCATTCAGTTGATATTGTTCTTTGTACTTTTTATCTGTTCCTGCACTTTCGTATTGTTTCCTTTTTATCTCTCTGAATGAACTGAATAAACTGAAACTGAAAAAAAAGGCTTGACAGTGATAGTAACATTGTTTGGCTTAGAAATTTAAGATTTGTAGGTGGGAAGTTTTCCGACAGAAAACATTTACCCCCTCTGACCCCAGCTGAATGATTTATTTATTCAACCATATTTCAAGAGGGTGAACCATCCAGCGAGCTGATTTTACAGGTCCCTCAACGATACAAACGAGAAGCATACAAGATATATAACATGAAAAACATACATAACTAGTTAAAAAATTGTGAAGGAACACACCTGAGATCCATGCATTTTCGCACCATTGTTTACCATAGCAACAGCACCCAATTTTTTGTGTTTGATTCTGGGATTTTCTTCCATTTCAAAATACCGAGCCTGATCACCATATAGCTGCCTATCATGAACATTTGAGAAAAAAATCTATATGTATATCATTATCATAAATCATGGAGCTCCCTAACTTATACATATTAGTGAATAAGGGATTTTCCTAACAGGATTATCAGTCTAAAAGACTGCAGAATGCAGTTAAGAATTTTTACTATGTAAAAAGCTACTTCAAGGTAAATTTTACTCTTAAAAATAAATAGGATTTGCCTAATAATCAATGCAATAAAGGAAATGTTTTCCCAGAATATACAATGATGATGCTACCAATATATGCAACATTATTAAAACCCCACATTTTTGCTAACACTGACAAAAACAGAATTTTCTGTTAACATGTGCTAAGAGGCACCATAATTTCATACTTCACAATTTCAAGAATTTATGAAAAAATTACCAATTTTGGATCTACTGTACATAACTTTGAAGTGGGTCATCTTCGAAAGTATCACACTAGAAGTAAAATTGTATCTCTTACTTGAATATTGAATCACCTCCATTTCCAGAACCTGTTGGGTCTCCAGTCTGAGCAATGAAATTACGCTGAAAAATTTAAAACAGAAAGATATTAGCTATCGGTAAATTTCCTGGAAATTTCAATTTGGGGGTACTGGGTTGGGACACGGTTACCTGCTCCACAGCGGCTTTAGAGTGGCTGAGACCAGCTAACTTTGGCTTTGATTTAAATGAAGATTGAAATGTACGAGTACTGTAAGTACACAGTATCTACCTTAATCAAGATTCATATTTAGTATTGGCTAGTTATTAAATCAATTGACTATTTATTGTTGTGTTAAAATATTTTAATGTAAATTCACATAAACATTTATGGAAATATAAATAAGTTATTTATTTATTGAATATATAAAAAGTATAAAACAAAGAAAATAAAAGAAGAACAGAAAGACACTCAGAGTGGCTTTAAATTAGTTAACAAAAATTATATATAATGAAAATAGCTCATAATATATTATGTTTGTGCAATAAATTTCAGGCACTAATCATATTATTAGGCCGAGCACTCACTACATCATATGATGGTTGTACGACCTTTGCACAACGAATGTCAATGGCAGTCTGAACACATCGTCATTAAAAATGATCAATTGTGTGCGTGCCGTGGCGTGTTATCCATGGAATCGCGTTGGCCAACAACCGTCGGCCAACAACCGTCGGCCACATTGATTGCCCCGTTTTAGAGGTCAAGGTGCCAAGCCTATCATGTTTCATAATTTGATATCACCATATCATACGTATTATAGAAGAGATTTGAAAATTCCAAATGTCCAAACAATAAAATTTACAAAAATATGTTGACCACATACCTGTACAGAATGAAATAAACAAAAGTTATAGTACTTCACTTTGCAGAGTTTCAGGAAGTTCAAACAACCTTTGAAAATAAAAACAATGGGAATAAATTATTTTACTTGATAATATTTTGGCAACTTATCCAGAAGTTTGAACTCAATTAACGAAGAAGGAAGTACAAGTAGAAGTAGAACATAGGCCTATAACTGATGCCATGATGGGCCAGCCTACAGTCTACTGTAGTTGGCCAGGTTACATAAAAGTTGCCTCTGATAGTTTAGGACAAACAAGCTAGACCTAGGCCCAGGCTAGGCTAGTCTCTCAGGCTTTTGGACCTACCTTACCTGCTGTAGTCTAGCGGCCTGAAACTACACAAACAAACAAAGGCTAGGCCCTAGGCCTAGGCTAGACTAACACACAAACACGGCTAACAACAAAAACATCAAAACCTAATTTTCAAATAAATCGACAAGTATATTTTACATCTGGGTCTCTCTTTGGGATAAAGATCCACTACTATGTCACCAAGCGTTGTTTCTAGGAGAACTGCCATCACTTTTCGTCGTAGTTAAAACTTTTCAAAATAACTTTCTCTGTGTTATCCGACTACTACAAACGGAAGCCGTTTTCGCATGTCGAGCGGTTGATGAGTGTACGCTCGATTGCATTAACGAAAGTTTGGTATTTAATTGAAGAAACGCAAGGTGGTATAATAATTTATTCGAATGGCTATGTAATTTCAATATATATAATATTTTAATATTAAATATAAACTGCTATAATCAACATCAAACTAAACTTCAAAATTTACTAAATCTTGTACGAATAAAACATTCGGTCCTACTAAATACCACACGGAACCACTCGCGACCACACGGGACCACTCGGGACTGCTCGCGACCACACGGGTGCAAAAATGATAAAAATATTACCACACGAGAGTAGAAAACTACTTAATAATCAATAGAAACCAACTTTTAGTACGGTAATTCTCCAAAATATGGTAAAAATGATTGTTTTTTTTACAGGTTTTTCCGCCGTGCTTCGGAAGGTAATGCGGTGACATTGAGGTTCTGTAACGCATTCACGGCTCCAGAAACGCGTTCACCCTTGACCTCTACAACATTCACTACGTACAGTACGGTACGTTACATTTCATCCTGCGTGTATGCCTATTCTATGTATAGGCCTATTATTCTACTATAACTGTATTTATTACTGTATCTGCTTTGTATTTTTTATAATTATGTGTTTTTGACTCTTATTATTTTTATTTTTTTTAAATTTGTATTGATCCTGTAGTTATGTTATGTTTTAGCCCAGAGACAAATCTAGTTAACTTCTTATGAATAATGTTTTTAAAGATGTATTTTGAGATGTTTTCTATGAAAATAAATAAATAAATGGCAGTAGTACCGCTTTTTGTGTTTCAATGTTAGTAATGGATATAAGAAAATAAAAATAAACGATCAATCTAACAATATATAACAATTCAAAATTCTCATTTTCATTTTATGTAGAATAGGTTTATTACCGTTCACGTGGCAGTATATAACGGCCTATCTTGATTGATGATATTAAACACAGACATGAAGGTCATGGTTGAAGGCGTTTCAGCTGACACGTCAATGCGTTACAGATCCACAATTAACGCATTACATTACCGAGACACGACAGGAAAAACCAACAAATCAAAATCAAGATACATCGATTTTTAACGGAATTCGGATAATTACCGTACTAAAAGTTGATTTCTATTGATTATTAAGTAGTTTTCTACTCTCGTGTGGTAATATTTTTATCATTTTTGCACCCGTGTGGTCGCGATTGGTCCTGAGTGGTCGCGAGTGGTTCCGTGTGGTCGCGAGTGGTCCCGTGTGGTATTTAGTAGGACCCAAAACATTCAATTTTTATAATTGGTGCGACTTCTGCTCAATGTGGTACAACGGGATGTTGTTTTTCGTAATTTATATATCGTAATCCAGTATTATTATTTTTTCCAGTTAATATTCGCTAAGAAATATTTTAAATGTTATTTTTTTTTAAATCTTTATTTCAATGCTGAGAATTAGGCCTACTTTATTTATTTATTTATCAGTTTTAAAATTCTTTTGATTGAAGAGGTTAGAAGAAATTCAAGATGTCAGCCACCAGTGAGGGTTTAGATTCGACCTGTAGCTTCAGTGATTTTGATGTTATTGGCTTCGATCTTGACCATACACTTTGCAAGTATAAGCTAGACATACTTTTTCCCGTACGTTTTTCAAATAGCATGTTGAGTAAATCTGTGCATCAACACAAGGGTAGGACACCGCCGCCGTGTGTACCACCGACTGTTGTGTGTGCAGTGGTCCGTGCGTGCCGTGGATGGGATCTCCCTGCCTGCTGCCTGGTCGGCGGATGTGTATATTACAGCGTTGCTAGGCATTAGGACGTCCCTTAATTATATATAGCTAAGTCTACAGTGCGCATTAGGCCCCATAAAGAAAATTATTAGTTTATCATCCTATCAAGACCAAAAAACTGATGAGGGAGGGAGGTTTTTTTTTTTTTTT